AAAATAGAAATAAAAATATATAAGCATATTTAAAAAATTTTTTTTAAATAATATAAAAAATGTCGAGAAGTGCCTTACGTGTAATAGTCGTTTAAATGTTCTGGAAATCTCACTCTTCTTCCAGAACGCGTCGTTTTAAGTTTATTTTCGGATACTGTCGAAGTATCATCGTGTGTGTTGGTTGTCGGATAAGGTATTATAAGTGTCGGAGTCGTGTCGTTCGATTGTACCGAAGGAAAATCCACGTAGATAGGATTTCCTTCTAAATACGCTGCTTTGAGGCGATCGATGCTGATGCTATCGTTGGTTCCGTTCTTATCGATTATATAGTACTTTGGTTCGCGTTGAAGAACTTTGAAAGGTCCTTCGTATGCTGATTCGAAAGGTCGTCGATGCGAGTCTCGACGAACGGAAACGTGTGTACTATATCGTAAGTCATGTTGAACGAAAACATCAGTTGATTGAGGTCGAGTGGAAGCAGGTTTAACTGAACGCATTGCGTTTGTAAGCCTGTTCGTGTAGGAGGTTAGATCCATGCTCATTGAAGAGGATGAAGGATCCATGAATTCTCCTGGAAGTCGAAGTGTCGTTCCATAAACGAGTTGAGCCGCAGTGTATCCAATGTCAGCTTTCACTGCATTGCGGATACCTAGTAAGACGAGTGGAAGAGCGTCGGTCCACTGAGAAACGTTTGCAGCTGATAGTGAAGCTTTTAGTTGTCGGTGAAAGCGTTCTACCAACCCGTTTGCTTGTGGGTGGTAGGCGGTCGTTCGGAAGCGAGTGCTTCCTAATAGTGTGGTCAAACGACGGAAAAGTTCAGACTCAAACTGACGTCCGCGGTCTGTAGTGATGGTTGAAGGGCAGTCGACATTTGCTACCCATCGTTCGACGAAGGTGCAGGCCACTGTTTCAGCAGTGATGTCCTTGATAGGTACTGCTTCTGGCCATCGAGTGAAACGATCCACACAGGTTAAGAGGTAAGAGTATCCATTTGAATCTGGTAAAGGTCCTACCAAATCCAGATGAACATGTTCGAAACGAGCATCGGGAGTTTTGTAAGAATCTAGGGGACATTTATTGTGTCTGATGACCTTAGATTTTTGGCAGCTTACACAGAAGCGTGCCCACTCCCTCATGTCTTTATTCATACTAGGCCAGCGAAACCGTTCTGCTATAAGCTTGATGGTTGCACGAACACCTGGATGAGAAAGTTTGTGCAATTTGTTGAAGACATTGCGTCGATAATCTTTCAGGACGATTTGGCGATCCCTACCTGTAGATGTGTCACAAAGTAAGGTTTCCTTACCTGTTCCCATCTGTTTGATGCGTAGTTTAAGGGTTGTGGACGATAACTCGTGCTGAAGATTAGTGTCTTCTTTTTGAAGCTGGGCGAGTTTAAGAAGGTCGATTCCATGGAAAATTTTCAAGGAATTTATTCGAGACAAGGCGTCTGCAACTACATTGTTTGCTCCAGAAATATGTTGAATATCTGAATTAAACTGCGAAATGTAGTCCAGTTGTCGAGACTCACGGGGAGAGTACTTGTCAGAAGAAAAGCTTAACGAGAAAGTGAGCGGTTTATGGTCCGTGAAAAGAGTGAATTCACGGCCTTCGATATAGTGTTGGAAATGCCGTACAGCACAATACATAGCTAGGAGTTTCCTACCGAATGTGTTGTACCTCGATTCGGTGTCTAGCAACCGCCTAGAGAAAAATGCCAAGGGTTGCCAGGAGTTGTTAACCCATTGTTGTAAGACTCCTCCGATTGCCGAGTCGGATGCGTCTACTGCGATACTAATGGGTGCTCGAGTGTCCTGATGTGCGAGCATTGTTGCTTTAGCGATCAGTTCCTTAACTGTGAAGAATGCTTTTCGTGCGGTGTCGTCCAAATTAATGGATTTCGCATTTCCACGAAGTTGGTCAGTAAGAGGTTTCATAAGTAATGCGCATTTCGGTATGAAGCGTCTATAGAAACTTAACAGGCCGTTAAACGTGCGTAATTGCTTGACGTTGGTCGGTTCTGGGTAATCCAGAATGGCCGCCACTTTGGTCCTAAGAGGTCGAATGCCTTGAGCATCGTTAGTTTGTCCTAGGAAGTCTAACGAGTCGTTTCCGAATTGGCATTTCTGAATGTTTACAATAATGCCATGTTTTTGTAATCGTTTGAACACAAGATCCAGATGCTTGAGATGTGATTCTCTGTCCGGACTTGCGATTAGGCAGTCATCAACATACGCATGTACGAAGTTGAGACCTCGAAAGACGTCGTCTATGAATCTTTGGAAAGTTTGCGCAGCGTTTCTTAGACCGAACGGCATTCGCAAAAATTCATAGAGTCCGAAGGGAATAATGATCGCGGTTTTCGGAATGTCGTCAGTAGCCATAGGGATTTGGTTATACGCTTCAACTAAGTCGATTTTCGAAAAGTCAGTTGTACCTTTCAAGGTAGCTGTCAATTCGTGAATGTGAGGCAACGGGTAACGATCGGGAATGGTTTTTGCATTCAATCGCCGATAGTCACCAGTTGGACGCCAATCGTTGCTGTCCTTTTTAGGGACCATGTGCAACGGAGATGCATAAGGGCTGTTTGACGGTCGTATGATTCCTAAGTCTATCATGTGACTGAATTCGTTTTTCGCTAACCTCAGCTTTTCAGGAGCTAGTCGTCGTGCTTTAGAGAATACAGGTGGTCCTGTAGTCGTGATGTGATGTGTAACATTGCTGGTTACACACGGTAGTTTCGGTTGAGTTTGTTGTATCTCAGGGTACTTATCGAGTTGTGGTTGATAGAGTGGGTCTATCATATGCTTAACTGTGACTGGGGATAATCTACAACCAGAAAAAGAAGTTACGCAAACGGATTAATTAGTGTTTCCGTCTACTAGCCTCTGTTTGCGCGTATCGATGATTAGATTATGGTGTTGTAGAAGATCCATACCAATGATTGGCATAGAAACATCTGCAACAACGAAAATCCAATGAATGGGTTTGCGTAAACCCACGTTAAGGTAAACGTAAGTTTTGCCATACGTAGCGATCGGTTTTCCATTTGCCGCCTGTAAGTTTAGAGTTGATTCGTGGAGCCGGTCGTTATGATTTGCTGGGAGAACGCTAACTTTTGCGCCAGTGTCGACGAGGTAGCGAACTCTCGTTGTCACATCTGTGACGTACAACAGACGGCTATGTTCGCCGGCTACGGTTGCCGTTAACGCGTGCCGGCTTGGAAGTTTCCCGGATTGTTTTTCGAGTCAGTCGTTTTCGTGTCGGGAAAATTGCAGGGTTTTCCGCAATTTCTGGAAGACTTTCCTTGCTGGTTATGATACCAGCACCAGTCGGGGTTATCCGTCTCTCGTAGTCTAGAGACAGATCGTTTACGTGAAATGCTTCTACGTGGGCTGTGTGAGCGACTACGGTCGTTACGAAGATTAAGATAACGCGTGAGTGTATGACATAACTCGGTTTTGTCATTCTGAGTAGATTGAAGCTTTTCTTTGACTGAAAATACCTCTGTAGTAGACGATTTCGTTATTTCTAAAATACGATCGGCAGATGCAGCCAGCTCGTCTAAGGCGTTGTTCTGAAACGAGACCAGAACCGCTTGCACCTGTTGAGGAAGTTTAGACAAGAAAAGTTGTTTAAATAGGCCTTCGTCGAAAGTTCTTAGACCTATCACTTCTCTCATTCTTTGCAACATGTCAGTCGCAGAACCGTGTTGCAGGTTGATGTTATTGAAGAGTTGATCTAACCTTTGTCGATCGGTTAGGTCTCCTCGTTTAAGAATCGAACGTTTCAAGATTTCGTAAGGATCGGAAACATCACTAGTAAACATACTAGGTGTTACGTACCTGTTGAATTCGCGTGGTAGTGCCTTGACTACTGCGAGGAATTGTGCACGTGTGTCGATCACGCCGTGCTCGGAGAAATCGGATTCTGCGTAGCAGAACCAGGCTTCGATATTGTCGGGCCAGAAAGGCATGAGTTGAAACGAAGGCGGGGACAAAGTCTTAAGCTTGAGTACTTTGGGTGTCTGTTCAGCCATGATGAAATATGAAGTACGATAATGAACGAGAGGAAAATATATATATCCAAAAAAACACGAAAAAAATCACAATGTTTAAAAAAATAAGGTAATGATATATAAAAATCCCAAAAAGGAACAGACTCACAGCTGCAATTAGGTGTACCAGATCACGACGGTCTCACCAATGAGGATGATACAGGTATTCAGTGTTTGACAACGCTTCTACCAGTAACACCTTCTAATATACTTTGTTCCCACCGAGAGAAATCAAAAGACGAAGTCGAGGAGATCGGAAGAGTGTATTTGGCGATAACCAATATATCGGGAATCTCTGATCTAATCTGGCTAGTGATTGCGGTAGATGTTGAGCACAGCGTTACCACATGTGATCTGGTGCGGATGCATGACCGAGCACCTTCAGCTAGATGAGTCCACTAAAACATATTGTCAGCATCTAATGTCGAAAACCTACAGAGCTATTTAGTTTGGGGATTTATTTACCGCTACAACATGTATGTGTATGTCACGTTGATTGAGTTGTAAGCTCTTCAGACTAGCCCTTAAATAGTATCTTAGATCATAGTAACGAAATTTCTATCTTCGTAGTCTGTCGAGAAGTAATAATCTTAAATTATTTGATTGTTTTGTTAATTGGCTGAATTATCACTACATGTATCTATGCGTAATTTTGGTCTCTACACTTTCGTACCAAATCCACTTCAATGAAGAGTAATATTATTGTTTATTTATGGACAGTATGATGCGGAATTTCATTTCATGATCTCATGCTGTATTACAACTCAAACTGTAGGTGTAATCTAAACTAAACTGCTCGCTAAGGAATCTTGTGACTCGAAAAACACTTACCACTGTTTTATAGTTGTCGATAGCTATTGAAATTTGTACTTATGTTCCTATTTCGATTTTTCCGTGATTTGTAGTTAAGTCTGTACTACATATTACGTCGTGACGTTCGAAAATGTTACTTCAAGTTTTAATTAAAGATGCTCTGCGATACAACCGATCTCCTATCTCAAACTTATGTCGTCATTATGCAGCTCATGTACAGCGTCCGGCTCCTGACTTTTGTGGAACGGCAGTGGTGGATGGCCAATTTAAAGAAATAAAACTGAGAGATTATGCTGGCAAATACTTAGTCCTCTTTTTCTATCCTCTGGATTTTACTTTTGTGTGTCCAACTGAGTTAACTGCGTTTTCTGATCGAATTGATGAGTTCAAAAATGAAGGAGTTGAAATCGTTGGCGTTTCAACTGATTCACATTTCAGTCATCTCGCTTGGATAAATACTCCACGTAAAGTAGGACTATTTTGTTCTTGACTAGTAAATTTACCATAATTGATGAAATTACGAGCGGTTGGTGTGAGCTACTTTAATGAGTAATTCTAATACAGATTAATTCAAACTGGATGTTGATTTACATTAGTCCTGATCATAGAATTCAGCTAGTTTAAAGTATTGTGAAAGATATTTGCATTAGTTTCTTATGTATTTCTTTTCACAACAGATTCTCTTGGGATCTGAAGGATAGGATGTTCCTAAAGCAAAGTTCAGTCTTTCCATGCTTAGAGTGTATTAACTTTCCGATTAATTCATGTAGTATATGATAAACAGTGATCACAATGTAAAGTTGTAAGTAATTCATCCTAAGGCTAAGACACTATATTCCAGCGATTCGTTTTCTGTACAGTTTGGGACAGACCAACTCATGGTAATGACTCATGAATTTATTCTGTGTAAAAAAACCCAGGTTGTATGCGTGTAAAACTCGAATAGTGTTACACAAATGAGCTCATTTTCAAATATCAGTTTTAGCTTGTAATATATCCCCGTTACTTGGTTTATTCAATCAGTCGGAAACAATGTAGAACTTCGTACGTACGTACATCAGTTTATTCAGTGCATTCGTAACTAGATCTACAAATATCACCTACTGTAGGGTTTTCTAGGTTGCCATAATTCCTATCCATCCGTGATTCTTAAAACTATTTTACTCTTTCTTTTAATCAGGAAGGTGGTTTGGGCGGTCTACGCTATCCACTCTTGGCAGACTATCAAAAACAAATTACACGTGATTATGGGGTCCTTCAAGAAGAGTTAGGTGTTGCCCTTCGCGGCTTATTTATCATTAATCCTGACGGTATAGTCCGCCAAATTACTATTAACGATTTTCCTGTTGGAAGATCTGTTGACGAAGTTTTGAGATTGGTTAGAGCCTTCCAGTTTACAGATAAACATGGTGAAGGTAACTTTCTGGGATCATCTTTGCTTGGTTTATACACACTCATTTTATTTTATTATAGAGCTAAACCCAGTCAATGAAATTCGTTAGCTCAAAATAATTGAAAATTGTAGTTTGAGAATTGTTCAAAATATTTACATTCACAGTCCACTGATCTTCGAACCATCTTTGTTTAATCCTAAAAAGATCTCCCTTTGAAACCATCTAGTTACGATCAGGACTTGTAATTATTTTGACCTATCAATCTTTATATGTTCATGAACTAAATTATTGAGGAACATGAACAGTTCGATAATACAGATCAGTCTAAAACTCGCCCCTTGAATAAGAAAGATGATTATCTTGTGTTTAACTCACTGTAGGTCGGTCATATTGTTAATTTGTATTCATACAATCAGTATCTAATCATTCACTGGTAGTTTTGTCGCAATTTAACATTTTTGTTGGTATAACAATAGATACTAGCTTGTTCAGCAATACTATTCATAAATGTTTCTGTTACTAATCGCACAATATTATGAATTAATTTAAGTTAGGAATGTGAGTCACTGAATAACGACTCAGTGGTCGCAAGACCTGAAAGTTCTGTAGTCTAGTACACCAATGTAGGTGCTAATTTGCATTTATGCATCTATATTTCAAGAGTTTGGAAATAGTCGGATGTGGTCCGTAAGGTCTCGAAGTAATGGAGATCAGTCATTGAGGAGCTTCAGTCTGTTACAATAATGCAGTAGTATTCACTCGAAATTCAAGCCAAGCGGTTACTATGTCATATATATTCGTATTAGCGACCTTACGTATATCATTTTCTAAATAAACTTTCGCATTTCCATAAAGTACTGTTATCCTCCACTGATTGTTTCTTTTTTATCTGCGATTACCCGTTTGTTTTAGTTTGCCCAGCAGATTGGCAACCAAAAGGTCCAACAATAAAGCCAGATCTGAAAAAGTACAAGGAGTATTTTCATAAGGTTAATTAAATGTATCATTGTTCCCTGTGAAGTCAAATTTAAACGTGATACAGACCTGTATTAATACATGTTGGTTCATATTCAGAATATTATACATAGTACACTGGTATTCATTATGTAGCAACAGTGTTTATGAACTCATTTTCTGTTTTCTGTAATTTCCTTGATTATATCAAATACAAATATTAAGAAGCACCAGTTCTTAAATCTATGATACTGCACAGCAAATAAATATTTTAGCGTCATTCCATAAGATTGAAAAAGGAATATTGATGAGGAAAAAGGATGATCTTAAGTGAGTGAGATATTAAAATTTAACTGGAATTATCTCTGTCACAATAATTTCTTATACATAAAATATCTTGTGGCACTGTTGAACCTTTGAAACTGTTGTGTGTTTTATAAGCAGAGATAGATGGTAGTTAGCAGTGAAATCTAGAACTCAGGTTCCATCCTATTCGGGGCTCGTGAGCTGGATGTACTTGCATCCCAGAGTTGATGTTCACTCCAGGACTCGAACCCAGTACCATTCTCTTCAAACACCATCGCGTTATCCATATAGTTGTTGTATGTTTTGTATTATTTAGTTTATATACGATTAAGAGCAACTAAGGCTCGTTAAATAAAATGCCTCAGAATCGGTCACAATGGCACAAGTGTATTCACTTTTTTTCCTCCCTTAGATCTTTAGTTTTAATATTGTCCTGTACTTTTCAGCCCTTTAAATAATTTTCATCAGATCATATTTATCTATGTGTAATCTTTGGTATCGCTAATGCTATTATCACTTCTACTATGGTTTGATTTTTGTCAGCAGTTTTATTTCAGTATGTTGATATATCAGCATATATATATATATATATATATATATATATATATATATATATATATATATATATATATATATATATATATATATATATAGTATGTAAACTTGAACGGAATAATACTTTTGCCACGTTCTATGTTACTGATAACTCACAAACTGAAAAGTAAGGATATTAAGCAGAAAATAACTTTTATTAGGACAACATATATACGTGAATAATATTGTCTTCCGTTGGATCCTTATCAGGCTTTAATATACAGTAATATATACATACATTTACTTAATTATTAAATCAATGAAGGCAGTTTATGAGTCGGTGAGGAAAGTGTGTAGCGGTTATTAAATCCCCATAATCAAAAGTTCTGCAAGTCTTCGACATTTGATGCTGACCACATCAGTTTTAATGGACTCACCTAGCTGAAGACGGTCGGTGACGCATCCGCACCAGATCACGAGTGGGAACGCCGTGCTCAACTTCTCCTGCAACCGCTAGCCAGTTTAGATCAGTCACCTCTCGATATATTGATAACCTATCAAATATTTCTTCTGACTTTTGATTTCACTGGGTGGGCGGGATTCAATTATAGAATATGTTATTGGTTAAAGTGTTGTCAAACTATAAATACTCGTGGCATCTTTACATCAGACACGATAATAAGTTAATTAAACAAGTAAATCTTAATTTAATACGCAGTAGTGTTAATGCTATTATTAGGTTAAAAGCTCAGAAGCTGAAAATGACTAGTAACAAGCCAATATCTGACTTGTTGATTATATGGTGATTGGCATTACCTACAATTCTCCCCTTTCAAGAAGTATAAATATCAGATATGCAATAGGCGCGAAAATAAAAAAAATCATAATTCACTTAATCGCACGTTTCACTGACCAAGTGGAACGCTTTATTGATGTAAGATCCATTCTGAAGATTTTGTGTGTGAAAATCCCTCCATGTATACACTTGTAGTTTATTCTTATTGATTCCTTCAGTTTTACATTCTGTTAGTCTTTCTGATTTCATTTGAGATGGTAATGTTTTTATTTCATTGTAGTTTTTACTTTCGTTACGCTTTCACTGAGTTTCCATATTTTTTCCTGAACTGCATTTACGTTGTTTTAGTTTATACTTAGTCTCAGCGGCAGCCTTATTGACTCGCTCCCCCTGTGATTGTGTTGCTTGCATTGACTGGAATTGTACATTTTTGATCGTGAATTGAAGCACTCTTCGGGAATCGGAAACACTCTGTGTTATAAAGCAACCAAATATTGTCTTTCGAACGAATCTGTACGTGATCTATCTAGAAAGGATAGAATAACATATATTTGGTGCTCTTACACCCTTTATCAACCTATTTATCTATTGTAATCTAGATTCTATTACAGACTGAACAATTATTGGTTGAATAACTGGGTAGTAATATTTGTTTAGGTAATAAAGTACATTTATATTTATAATGAAATCTAGAACCGTCATTTACCCAATCACTTAATTTTGGTTTCAACTGGGCAGAAGCGTGTGTATAAACTGCCTAGATAGTTATTCCCCAGTTCAAACCCTACTTTCGATCCTAGAGTTGGTACACTTAAAAGTGCTCTGAAAAAATCAAAATGGGAGGGGACCGCCGAGGAGACCAAGAGACGTCCCTGGTTATCTATCATTCTACATCGAACACTTAGACGATTAACGGAGTCTGTTCACCAGAAGCTTTACTTGGCAGAAAGATATGAGCACGATCTATGTAAATGTCAAAAAATCAAGGCTCGAGTATTCGTTCACTCCCTTATTTCGTATGGGGATTATATTCCATATTATTTCACATTGAATGTTGAAAAATTTGTGCGTTTGAGAAGATAACCTCACACCCCAATCCACCAAAAATTTCAAAATAGAGACCTATTCACCACCGGTCTGGTTTCTTCTATCAATGGAACGAGGGTTATCCACAGGCACAAACAACTATCGTGGCGTACATCCTACATGAATTGCTGGTCGGGTCGTGCAGAAAAAAGTATACTTTGCGAGATTTCAGTTGGCTCAGAAGTTCGAGTGCGTCATTCCAACCAAACGAAAGCAACTTCGATCACTAGCAACGAGACTCGACGTAGAATACCTCTTGATGACCTACTGGAACTTGTGAAATCAAAACCGCTAGAACAGACAAGTCACTCTCCGTTCAGGTCAGGAGTAACATTGTTAAACAGAATGAAGGACTCCGCAGAGGCACAACTTCGAGACCAACAGGCAGGATTCCGTAAGGATAGATCCTGTACAGACCAAATCGCAACTCTACGGATCATCGTGGAACAATCAATTGAATGGAATTCATCACTCTACATCGATTTCGTTGACTACGAAAAGGCATTTGATAGCGTGGACAGAACTACACTATGAAAGCTTCTTCGACACTATGGTGTACCTCAGAAGATAGTCAATATCATACAAATTTCATATGATGGACTACACTGCGAAATCATGCATGGAGGACAGTTGACAAAGTCATTCGAAGTGAAGACCGGTGTCAGGCAAGGTTGCTTACTCCCACCCTTACTCTTTCTCCTGGTGATCGACTGGATCATGAAGACGTCAACATCTGAAGGGAAGCACGGGATTCAATGGACATCTAGGATGCAGTTGGACGATCTAGACTTCACAGATGATCTGGCCCTTCTATCTCAAACGCAACAACAAATGCAGAAGAAGACGAACAGTGTGGCAGCAGCAATAGGTCTCAATATACACAGAAGGAAAAGCAAGATTCTCCGATACAACACAGCATGCACCAATCCAATCACAATTGACGGAGAAAATTTGGAAGATGTAAAAACCTTTACATATTTGGGCAGCATCATTGATGAACATGGTGGATCTGATGCGGATGTGAAGGCGCGGATCGGCAAAGCAAGAGCAGCATATTTACAACTGAGGAACATCTGGAACTCAAAACAACTGTCAACCAACACCAAGATCAGGATTTTCAATATAAATGTCAAGACAGTTCTACTGTATGGGGCGGAAACCTGGAGAACTACGAAAGCCATCATCCAGACAATACAGGTGTTTATTAACAGTTGTCTACGCAAAATACTTCGGATGTGTTGGCCAAACACTATAAGAAACAACCTAGTGTGGGGGAAAACAAACCGGATTCCAACGGAGGGAGAAATCAGGCAGAAGCGCTGGAAGTGGATAGGACACACATTGAGGAAAGCACCCAACTTCGTCACAAGACAAGCCCTCACATGGAATCGTCAAGGCCAAGGGAGAAGAGGAAGACCAAAGAACACATTACGCCGGGAAATGGAGATGGACATGAGAAAAATGAACAACAATTGGATGGAACTAGAAAAGAAGGCCCAGGACAGAGTGGGATGGAGAATGCTAGTCGGTGGCTTATGCTCCATTGGAAGTAACAGGCGTAAGTAAGCGAGTAAAACAAAACCAGAATCAGTCATTATGGATAAATCGCAATGCGATTATCAGTCTTTCATTATTCTTAATTTGAGCTTTAAGTTTAGGACATAGAAGTAATAATTTAAACGATTTATGTATACATTATCGTGATGATATTGGGCTCTGTAGACTGGGTTTTTAATTCTCAAACTTCATTGTCAGCCTGGTTTTCAAATTTGAAGTGGAAATTGATGATATTGTCGATGATGATAGTGAAAGCTTCGCAAGTAAAATATTAAACCGAAAGAGCATTAGGTCACTTAAAGAAACCATCTGAACTAAAAATGTTCATTATTCCAAAATCTTACAGGTGTAACATGTTTTTCTATGTTGAAAAACTGAATAATATCATCGATAAAATTAGGAAAGAAAACATTTACATGAGAGGTTCAAGTTTATTAACTGTCAACGTGATTTTATTATTGTTTCCTTTGTTTGTCAGTTAATTGGATAAATTATTCAGGTGCGTTTGTCATGAGTTAACGATCTTTCGCTGTACAAGTTACAAAAATTTACAATCAGAGACATCGTGATAGCTGGCAATGTGAATTGAAAAGAATGAATATTATTCAGATGTCGACTTCTGAAATCCTAATAACAAACTGGCGATCACGCAATATCATCAATTTCGACCAAGAAATAAGAGACAGAAACTCACTGAAGTACTTTGTGCTAAGGATCCTATATTGTACCTGTAATGTCCTTTGGCATGTCTACTCACTTTTGGTG